ACCCCACCACATTTTTAAAATATTGTCTCCAAAACAAGCACCGAGTTTATTATAACAATCCAAGTTCTGTGTTCAGAAGAAATATAGCATAAATACCACAAGAATTTTTTGACCTACTAATTTTCTAATGGCCTCTAATTGTGTTAGTCATGCAGACTCCTGATACTTTTTCTTATCTTTTACAGAATCTGTTCTCAGTGGTGCTACAGGAAGGAGTGCAGACCGGCTGCAGAAACAGCACCTTCACTGTGGTGGAGTTTACTCAGCTGAGCCCTGTGCTGTAGGACCAACCACACACTCTACATTAACACGCACCTGAGTTTTTTTCATAAACTCAGCTTCAAGACTGTGGTTAATCTAAGCATTCTGATCAACTGTCAAATGCACAGCTGAGACAGACAAATGCTGCTTTCAGTTCTCTGTCTCACAGTGCAGTAAGTCCTGAAATTGTTTGTGTAATTTGTGGATTGTTCTAGGACATTTCAATCATAGAGGTCAGAAAGCAAACTGATAAGAACTGAAGATTTCTTTAAGTCTTCCGCTTTTAAAACTGTGTCCCATCATGCCTTTGTAAATAAAACATTTAGTAAACTAATGGTGTGTGATTATGCAGACGCCAGAGCCAAAGTCTCCTTCTCAGCCCTATACACATGTATAGATATTGAGAAATAATTAAATAATGTGATAATTGCGATTCTCAATGAGAGATTCTAGCTGCAAACTTCCACTTTGTGTTCTATACATTGTGCATTTTTTGTCAGTTGAGCATGAGAAAACATCAACACACTCGATTCAAACCGCACTGAGGAAATGTTTTAAATTACGTCACTTGAGGTATCAAGGTGGAGAACTGTGGGACAGTTTATTTCCATACAGTGTTTCTGGAGTCCTTTAATAAATGACTCCATCAAGAAATGTTGCTTACTTTCTGGGTCTAGATAACCCAGTCCAAATACTATCAGATTACTACTTTTGTGGTAGTTTGCCTTATCTAAATCTACTAATAAAAAACTGATTTACTGCTTCAGGAGGGAGTCCAGTCTTATGTCATTTGCCAAATAAGCAACATGTTTCAATTGGTATAATCACTAGTCCTCCAATTCTTTTACATTTCCTCAGAAATTCAAAGATCTGACTTGACATCAGTGTTGACCAAGCCCTTATGAGAGAATGTCAAAGATCAGAGTGAACAAGACCCAGTCCCATTTCACCCCTCACCCCTACCACTTCACCCTTAGCTCTCCATTTTATGTGTTCATGCCTGGAGGTAGTGTGTCCCGATTCTTGTTGAGGTAGAGGGGTAGGGCAAAGTGTTAGGGCTACATGACCCTCCAAACAGAGGTTTTTCAGAGACAATCCAAACAGAGTGATATGAAAACAGGAAAGATGGCTGCGTCAGTGACCAAAAATAAAACACAAATGTCCGAATTTTCTCTGTTAAAAAATTACGATAACCATAGGATAAGTTTAATGTTGTTTCAATATATAATGGCTCTTTTCTTTATAACACGCATAAAAAATCGCTAATAATATGCTAATGTCTCGGTAGGTAGCTAGCTAAATTTCCCGTTCCACCTTAAATAGTCCAGAAGTTCTGACTCCTGAAGCTCCAGAATGTAACTGTTCCATTTAAGGTGGAATGGGAAAATAAAACAAGATTCAAACAAGAAGCTGGTGAATATTTGACTTCAGCTTCATATCACTGAAGAATTCAGGGTGGATGATAATAAATAATTGCCCCCCTCTTTGAAGGAATATGATGTCCTGAATGTAACTAAAGCCCAGCAGTGAGGAGCTGAACTTTACCCTCCTCTGCTATCACTGCAGACTGGCAGGGTCGCCTACAGAGCAGCGCTAGTAGCCTGTTAATGAAGTAATGTTCCCATTTCATAGGCAAAGCTTTCAACCACTACCTATTGTAACTCAGTTTTAAGGGGCAAGGTGACACTCGAAAACAAGGGGTATGGCTTATAAATAAGAAAAGGGATTGGGCCCAACTGTATCCTCTGACACCCTTAAAATTTGTCAGATGTAATAATGGTAAACAAGGGGACAGGGCTTAGAAAAGGGTCTGCTCAACAGGATTTTTAAAAAATAAAATAGATAACAATAATACATATGTAAACAATTCAAAGTAATCAGTCAAATATGTAGATGTCTTCCAAAAAAAATAAATATCAAAAACTTACAGGTAAAAAATATAATTAAGAGTAAAACATCAGTCCAAAATGGTATTGTAGCGATCAGTGAGTAATCTCACTGGCTGAATGATAACCAACCCCTCCAATTTGGTTAAAATAGCATTTTATTTAAATCATCTGTTTTTTTGAAGCAATGGTTCCTGATTGCAGATAATTGGACAATTTGGACAATTTTATACTCTGAATTCAAAAATACCTCTTTAGCACAATTATTAAGCCCTTCCTATGAAGAACACAAAATCAAGTAATTAGTCTTAAGCTTTTTTTTGTAGGAAACACAGGATTCATTTATATCTTAATTTATATTGTGGGAAACTTGCTGAAACACTGTACAGAAAAACACAATATAAATAACTTAATGTCATTAAAAGCTAAAAAACACAATAAAGATCATTCTCACACGCTCCTAAGACAGATACTTCACACCCGTGCTAATATGATAACTCTGAGCTGTTACCCCAACAGAGTCAAAGTGTATTGGTTACCACTTCCCGCTGAGTTTATGTGAGATTTTTTGTCACTCAGTCTGAAACATCTAAAAGAAAAATGAGAACGATTACTGTCAGTGTTGACCTACATCATCATTTAACAGCTGGCTAAGTCTAATGGCCTGGTGGGTTCACAAACATTGCATCAGGATAACTTAATACGAGCTTAAGATGATGATTGAAATAACTTAATTTGGATGCATAATTTTTGATCCGTTAATACATGTAAAATAATCAATGTCTAAAATGATGTCACATCATTAGGACAGTAACCTAGAAGCTACGTCAATGCTGCACTACACTCTTATGATGTCAAGCTTGTTATAATAGAAGAGCCCTTTTTGGTGCTACATAGAACACTTTATATGATGACAAGAGTAGATAATCCTCGGACGACACGTCCTTCACCAAGTCTTGACTGAGATCTCTTTAAACACTCTTTCAACGCACTAGCTATCATCAAATTCATCCGCTCGGGGAAGAAAAAGCTCTTCTGCACATTGCGTGTAAATGCCAATTTCCACCAGATAGGTCTCTAAATCCTCCAAATCTTATATAGTGCAGTTTTAAGTAAATTAATGTAAAACACTTATTATAATAGTAACCTCCTTGTGTGGTCCTCATCATTCATAACTGCTTGCACAGCACAGCAGCAGTACAGCACTGAGCCAATGTTGGCTATTCTGACTAATCTGAGCCAAAATAATTGTGATGATTGGGTACCAGCTGAGCCTTCTGCCCAATGATAGCTGGGATTGGCTCCAGCACCCCTCTGCGACCAAGAAGGATAAGCGGTTTAGATGATGTGTGTGTGTGTGTGGGTACCAGCTGAGTGGACTGGATGCACTGAAGAATGTAGAAAGCCCGACTACAGAAGAGGCTTTTGCTCTGCATGTCTAAAGGCTTTTGCTCTGCATGCCTTTTTATAGAGTTTTAGGCTACGTTCACATTACAAGCCCATTTTTTGCTCAGATCCGATCTCTCTGACATGATGGTTCACACTTGTTTAAGTAAGTGACTCAAATCAGTCATTAATCCTACTCAGTAACATCACGTGAATGAATCACGTGCATCATCATCATCGCTGTGTAGATAATTAACTCTGATCAGCTCTCAGCCTCATTATTAAAGTGACACTTCAACCTGGTAATATGAACATAGCCTTAGATGGGTTTGGGCTACAGGCTATTTTTCAGCATTCTTAACAGACCCTTTCAAAAAGCGATGGCGACAAAAATGAGAATTTGAGACAGTGATGGAGACGCTCCCGGAGTAAATCATCCTGTATAATCTGAAAATCTGTAGTTGTAGTCTAGTGCCCCTAGTGGTGGCACATAACCCGTGTGGGCTTTACATTTTGAGAGGGGAAATTTTGAGGGCATTATCTCTAGAGCATACAGAAATATTCAGATTTAAATGTTGCATTTGTTCATCAAGTTGACGATTGTCATTCTTTACACCAACTTATAGAGTGATATGTAAAATTATGCTTGGGCACTAACGAAAGAAAATTGATTAAAGCCATGATTTTCAGTAATTTTCTTAAAGGGGAGTTTTTTTTTTTTTGTTTTGTTTTTTTACAAAATTTCTGCTTAATTAAATCTTTAATCAATATCATTTAGAGTGGTTTGATGTGAAATTTTCCTTCTGAGAGAAACTTACAAAAGTCACAATTGTTCACAGTGGTGGTGACCAAATGTCCGAAGTGTTTTCTGCTTCTAAAAGCTATTATTACACAAAATGCTTCTGAAATGCTGCCTGATGCCTGAGACTTTGATTTACCTATTAGATAAAAAAAACTTTTTGTAAATTCACATTCAGGTGTTTATTTTAGCCCCCATGACTTTGGCTTACACAGTTTACCTTGCAATTAATCATAAATGTCTGTAAGTTAATTCTATGTGATTAAAGAAGCCTCAACATTTCATTTGTATAATATTTTCTTTACACCAAACTGCTACGCACTGCATGGAATGGGGCTTAATTCAAAGAAGATGATGAAGACTGCAGTATGAAGCCGTAGATGTGCTCAATTCATACTATCATCTCAACACTTCTGCTTCAACTATTTTATGGTGAATATAGGGATCAATACAGCAAGTAAGAAAATGTATGGAAATGAGTAGTGATCAAAGACCATTATATTCTATGGAAATATTACCTTAATGGTGTGAGTGTGCTTTTCTACACATATGAATCAATGTCTGAAGTGTCAGGGAAAAAAAATGTTCAGCTCTTACTTCCTCTCACTTAAAACTTCTTGTGTGTCTGAAGTGCAGCAGTAGCTCTTTGTTACTGACTGAATTGAAGCTTTGGGTGTTCAGGTTACAACATGAAGATACAGTTTCACTTCTGTGAGTTCATTAATTGGGGTTAATTGTTTAACAATATAGATTTCTGGTTCACCATAAATATGCCTGTGATGTGTTAAAACTTAACGTAAGGTGAATGTCAGTTGAAATATATGGTAGGTTTATTCACCTGGTATATTAGTTGTTCTGTTTTCTCTTGCTAGGTCTGCTGCTGTTATGTGGAGCTGCAGAGGGCTTTATAGACAAGCTTGTAGATTTGGGACAGAATGTGACTTTAAACTGTGAGATTGATATAAGAGACGTATACTGGTTCCTGATGAAGCCCTCACAGCCTCCACTGTATATATTACGATCTTTTGCAAAAGCATCCACAGTGCCTGTGTACAGCAACAGTAGCTTCAGCAAAAGATTCTCACTGCAGATAAATAGTAGTTTAGTTATACACAATATCACTTTGAATGAATTAGGAATTTATTATTGCATCTTAAATGAAACACCACCTAAAATTAGCACTGGCATCAGGATACTGCACACCAATGGTGAGTACATTTAAACTTTTCTATTTAAAATACTGTTCTCCATTGGAGACATGTACAGATATCTGATTTTAGATGATAGTATTTGGAGCTTTAAGTTGTGCTTCCTTGTCCTGCTGAGTGTTTGTGTCTAACAGCTCTGGGTACAAATATGAGAGGTATATCTCATACTTCCAGCTCTTCAGATTTACAGCAAATTAGGATGTTTGATCTGAATTTATCCAAATAATAAAGCTAAAATCTTCATCCATGATTCCAGTAAGGCAGGGGTGTCAGGGGTGGCCCTTTTTATCTGCAAAGAGGTTTTCATTCCAAACAAGCAGGAGCACATCTGATTCCACCTGTTTAATCAGTTAGTCTCAACAACTGATCTGGTGTGCTCCAGCTTTTTTTTGGAAAGAAAACCTGCAGCAACACCGGCCCATTGTGGATAATTCTGGACATTCTGAAGTAGGACATTAAAAGTAAAAAGAAGTACATAAAATAAAAAAAAAGTTTATTTACAATGCAAGTTGAAATTCTCATGTTTGGCTCTATTTTAATGCATGCTATTTTGTGTTTTAAACAGTTTAAAAACAAAATGCATGTACTAGTGTATGTTTTTATATTGAAGAAAAAGGATGAATTTAATACTTCATATAACAGTAATAAAGAACCGTATAGTAGTAAGGAAAACAAAAGGAAAGTCTCCATGGTTTATGTTCTTATGCTCCTTTTAAGCTGTTAATATTGACATAAAATTTTGAACAAAGCACCACAGAGCCATGTGCTTCAAGTTGTTAAGCTAGTCAAATCTTCTCATGCTATTAGTTAAAGTTTAGACAGACTCTATCAGACACTCTACTTCTGATCATCATTGCTGATATGGGTAATGTTCCCTATTTAGAAAAATGTCAGTTAATTATATTTTGACCACGATATTCTTCATTCTCTGCAACATATTCTCATTTACTGCAATCTAGGGTCGGTTGTGGAACATATAACCATCACACAAAATGCCTTTTTTACATGACTTTGTTTTCTTAAAGCCACTGATATTTAGTTCTGATCAATGCAGACGGCAACTGAGAAGCTGCAAAATAAGCTACACTGGTAAAAAATTAGAGATAAAATATACAGCAATCTAGAACTAGGAGGAACACAGATGAAAGGAGAGAGAAAGGTTGGGGGTCTGAGAGGTTACAGCCAAACTAATCTCAAAGCCTATATATACTAGGACTATACTAAATAGTCCTTTTTTTGTCTCCCATCCTATAAGCCCCTCACATATATTCACAGCTGTTGGTTGCAATGGTAGAAATTTGTTCACCAGTAAAGATACTGTACTGTTTCTAAGATGGGAGATAAAAAATAGTGTTGCTTATCTCCGATACAGTGTGCAAGACTGCTTTACATAATTTCAACATCACATCACTGTTTCCTGACCATTCAGAAGCCACAGTGATCTTTTACTTAACGATGATGGCTCAGAAGCCACCTTGATTATTCTGATATGTGAACATAATGTTTTAAGACCACAAAGGTTTAGTGAATGGCCCAATTTGGATGTTAAATTCCTGAATATTCACAGCAATCTCATTACTGCAAATGGTTACAATGTCCAAAACAAATTAAGACAGTCAAGAAACTTAAGAGTGTTTGAAAATACTCTGGTTTGATCTAAAAAATGTATGACAATAATAAATGGTTTACCTTTTGTTGTTTTGTTTATATATATATATATATTATATATATTATATATATATATATATATATATATATATATATATATACATATATATATATATATATATACATAAATTATTTAAAACCTTAACCATGGTTAAAACCAGATATTTTTTGATAGCTTTTACAACAACAACAAAAAAAAATTTCATGAGAATGACCCACCTGCTCTTTGTACAATTGTCTTCAGATCACCACAATCAGACAGTGGAGAATCAGCAGCTGCGGAATGAGACACAGAACACAGAGATCAGAGAGATCAGACTCTGGCAATCCCTTCTCATCATGTCTGGCCTGCAGATCTGTGTTCTCATCATTGCAGTAACAGGTGGGCTTTCTTTTCTATATCAACATAAATAGTGTACGTATGAAGTACTACTGGAAAGTGTTAAATTACTCTGTTGTTCAAGGTATCTGCACACACCGAACAAAAGTGTTTACATAATAAAATATATACTTACAAAAGATTCTTATAGAGCTTTGATTGTTTAACAAAGAAAACTTCATTTTAACATTTAAGAGTTTTCATATGGGTTTGTTCATGTAACTTTGATTTCCGGTAGTTTAGATCCAGAGGATTAAAAATTAGCTGTTTAATTTTCTCAGAATATGCCCTGTCATTTCAGGTGTGATAGTAAGCCACTGCAAAGAGTCTCCCAACAACCAACTGCAACTTCCAGACTCCACTAAGCAGACCAGTGGCGTACAGGTGGGCATCCTGCATTTAAACACAGTTATTTTAGCCCCGTTATGATCTGCAGGTATCAGAATAACATGTCCATAAAATATCCTGTATGACAAATCAAGGATGAAGTACTATAATCTGTATAAATGTATAAAAATGGACAAAAAACAACCAAACAATATTTAGGCTTCCACACTGCAGGCTACTACTGCTTTTAGCTTTGCAGTATACTTAGTCCATTTGGTAACAATTTACTGAAGGGTAGCAAGGCTGCATGACACCAACAGGTGTTTGACGATAACTCACATATAGCTATAAAAACGTTTATGAAGGCTTATTTCACAAACATTGTCATAACACTTCATAAAGTGAAACTGACTAAAGTAGTCTTTATGATGACTGATGCTTGCTGGGATAAGCCTTTATAAATGTTTGTGTAGGTTTAGGTCAGTTTTTATGAAAGGTTTATACAAGTGTCATGTAGCCTTATAAATGCTGCCCTACAGTAAAGTGTTACCATTAATTGTTTTTATAGATAACAGTATATCATGCAGTGCCTGAAACAAATACATAAGCAAGTCTATTAAAGTTTACTTAACAACTTAATGGAGTTTCCACAAGGCTAACTAGTAGTTTCCATTGCTTGTTTCCAAGTCTCCATTAGTTACTCGTTAGTTACATCAGTTTCCATTTCTCATTAGTTACATCACTCCAGTCTAAAACTAAAGAAGCAAACATCAATTTGAGTAATGCTAACTGGTAATGGTAAGCTTTCATTGGTAGTGGCAGCTTGTTTGCTACATTAGCCTTGTAGCTCCAGTGCAAAACCCAAAGAGGACCCCAAAAAGGTCAGGAGAATTCATTATGTTCAATGTAAGTGGGAAATTGTGTATTTTTTTTTCTGAATTATCTCTTTAATCATATTTATTAAACAAACCAACTGACAAATGTGTCTCAATGACATACTGTGACTGACATGTTATTTCTTTGGAAAAAATGTATAAGAAGTTTCAAACCTGTTCATTTTCTAACAGAATATGCATCTAACTAGGTTGTTCATGTAGAAGTCTTCAATGAATCTTGATGTATTTTTCCTCTTCTACAGAATATGTTTTCAGTGATTCTACAGGAAGGAGTGCAAACCGGCCACAGAAGCAGCTTCACTGTGGTGGAGTTTACTCAGCTTAGCCCTGTGCTGTAGGACCAACCACACACTGCTCTTTGTTAACATGCAGCTTTTTTTATACTTTGCTACAGAAATGTGGTTAGATTAAGTATTCTGTCAAATGCACAGCTGAGACAGACAAACGGTGCTTTCAGTTTTCTGTCCCAGGGTGCACACTTTCCTAAAATTGTTCTTCTAATTTGGGGACTGTTGATAATAATTAATGTGTGATAACGAATAATTAGCGTAATGATAAGATGAGATAAGTGACTGTGGTTTTGTGCATTGCAAAGGGCCGGTGTGGCTCCAGGTTTTCACTCCAACAAAGCTGATAAAATGTTTGAAGACTAAGACCAACTGATTAAACAAGCAGAATCAGGTGAGCTTCAGCTTGTTTGAAGTTAAAATCTGCAGCCACACTGACCCTTTGCGGATAAGATTGAACACCCCTGCTTTATACTGTTACAACATCCACTTTAAATAAAATGTTGTCTAAATGTATCCTGATGTTGAACAAAGTGTCCTTTTAATTTTGTACTTATGTTTTAAGAGCTCATACAAACCACTCTAAAGCAATGTCTAAAAGTGCATACAAAGTATACAGATTAGAAAATAATTGTACAGAGATTGGAAAATTATTGAATAATGGTGCTGACAGGAACCAGACGTCCATCTCTAAAAGCTCCCTCACAAAGTTATTACATGAAATGGTCATGAATACACTGCTTGATGCCTGAGCCGTTAGCCTCTTTCCCACTGCAGGGCCAAACGGTTCTGAAGGGACTGTTACAGTTATCTGTGAAGGTGTTCAGATTAAAACAGCTGCACTAACTTCAAAGCACAATATGAGAGTGCATTAGGATCTTGTGAAACCAGAGCTACCGTGTGCATCTAAAAATCTGGTGAAACTGCAACTTGTTTTATTAAAATGCAGTGGCAAGCATTAATCACAAATCCCTGACCAGCATTTATGAAAACAGTTTTTGGTGCTCCTAAAGCAGCTTTACACAAGTCCCTAGTTATCTCATGTAGTTACATCTGTGCACCTTTAGGGGAGCTATTCTATCCCATATTGTAATACCCACTTCGTTTTTTAGGTTTTTACTTAGTCTTTTTTTTTTTTCTTGGTTTTGTTAGATCTCAAGAATGAATAAAAGTGCCTCAGTTTTAATCTTCTTTTCAATTATTTCCTCTGAAATTATAATTCCACTGACTGGTGTCAGCCAGAAAAAGATGGGTTACCCCTTTGAGTTTTAGTTCCTCTCAATGTTTATATTTCATGTGTCTGTCACAGTTTCCCCACTGTCCCTCTAAGTGTGTCTGTTTTTTCCCGTGTTGCAATTAAGCTTTATGTAATATTCCTCCCCGTTACCCAGAAGGATAAGCAGCTTAGAAAATGTGTGTGTGTGTAATATTTTTATCACTGAATTATATAATCTGGCGTAGAACATATTTTGGAAGCCTCCCACCATATAACAGTAAAACAAAATCAGAAAGAGTTTAAGTATTCTTCTGGTTCATTGGTTTTTATGATAATTTTCATTCTTATTCATTATCGCATTTGTGTAGTTTTTTCTACAAACCTAAGGCTGTCTGCATGTAATAGGGATTCACCTCAACTTGAGTGTCACCCATCTGCATGACATTTTTGTGAAAATATTTCCATCTTTTAAAATTCCTGGCATTTTCTGATGCCAGTTTTTGCCTCTACAGGTTAGAGCTTTGAACACTTCTATATTACGAAACCTGTGCAAAGTCTGCCTTTGTTGTCTTATTCAGTGTGGCCTGATTTCAGAGACTGCAAATCACCATCCATTAATATTGTTTACAAAATACCAAGACTCGTACTTCTGCTTCACGTTGAGACATTGTTGTAAACATGGGTAACAGATTATAGAAATGAGTGTTAATTATACTAAATTATGATCAAGGGGCTTTAACTACTATAGAAATATCACCTTAATGGTGTGAGTGTACGTGAAGGTGCTTTTCTACACGCATGAGGCAACTTTTGAAGTCTCAAGGTAAAAAATAAAAGGGGTCAGAGCAAGTTCAACTTCTGCTTCCTCTCATTTCTCTGGCTCAACTTCTTGTGTTTGCATCTGAAGGTCTGTAGTAGTGCTTCCTCAATGAGGCAGAGTGACAACTACCTCATTAAAGCTTGTGAAGAGCACTGGAGCTACAACATGAAGATTGTACAGCTTCACTTGTTTGACTCGTTGATTCAAATGTTATTGACTCAACATAGATTTTCCTGTACTTTTCCAGCTGAATGTAGTAGGATTATTTATTTTGGTGTGTTTGTGCTGCTTCTCTTGCCAGGTCTGCTGCTGTGGTGTGAAGCTGCAGACAGTTTCACAGAGAAGCTGGTAGATTTGGGACAGAATGTGACTGTAGACTGTGAGATTGCTGTAAAAGACGTATTCTGGTTACTGATAAAGCCCTCACATCCTCCAGTGTATATATTACGATCTTTCACAAGCAGACCTTCAGAGCCGTATTACTACGACCCAGCCTTCAGGAAAAGATTCTCAGTGCAATACAACAGTAGTTTATTTATACAAAACATCACTGTGAATGAACTGGGAATTTATTTTTGCATGTACAATAATATACCACTTAAAATTAGCATTGGTAACAGGATACTGCACACCAGCGGTGAGTACAATTTCCTATTTACGATATTGTTCTGCGAGTACAGATATCTGTTATATATTAGATATTCGTTGTTTTTTGACCGTGAGAAGTTTGAAAACTACAGTTAACATTTTGCTTTTTTTCATCAGGAAGACTTAGTAGCGTTTTTTTAACTCTATTTCCCTCTCAACTGTGAACATAATGTTTTAAGAGCTTAAAAACATGAATAGCTTTACCAATCTGAATATTTGATTGTTAAAAAATACATTTCAATAATGAGATAAATAGCTTGTTTTTTATTTATAATCTCCATCTCTCTCTCTCTCTCTCTCTCTCTCTCTACATATGTAAATATACAACGGCGATAATATATATATATATATATATAGATATAGAGAGAGAGAGAGAGAGAGAGAGCGAGAGAGAGAAAGAAAGTAAGCAAATTATGTAGAATTTATTTTTTTGAATAGCTTTTTAAATTTGTGGTCATTTTTTTCTGAGGTGGAAATGAGCTTTTATCCAGATGTGTTCACAGAAATATTCAAAAAAAATGGGAAAAACTGTCAAAAACGTCTTGAGAATTATATTCACAATAATTTCAAACTTTATTTTTCATGTTCCAAAACAAACTAAAAAGCCTAAACAATTAATATTTCCAGGTCCAGTCCAAATGAAATTAGTATTTTGTAAGGACTGACCCACCTGCTCTTCGCAGAACTGCCTTCAGATCACCTCAATCAGATGGAGGAGAATCAGCAGCTGGAGAATGAGGCACAGAACACAGAAATCAGACTCTGGCAAACCCTTCTCATCATATCTGGCCTGCAGATCTGTGTTCTCATCATTGCAGTAACAGGTTGAGATATATTTTCTATAGTTACATAAATAGCGTACATATGAAGTACTACTGGAAAGTGTACAATTACTCTGTTGTTCAAGGTATCTACACACATAGAACAAGAGTTTACATAAAATATACACCTACAAAGGATTATTGTAAAGCTTTGATTGTTTACAAAGAATAGTTCATTTTAACATTTAGGAGTTTTCATATCGGTTTGTTCATGTAACACTTATTTCTCGTAGTTCAGATTCAGAGTATTAAAAATGAGCTCTGTTTAATTTTCTCAGAATATGCCCTGTCATTTCAGGTGTGATAGTAAGCCACTGCAAAGAGTCTCCAAACAACCAACTGCAACTTCCAGACTCCACTAAGCAGACCAGTGGCGTACAGGTGGGCATCCTGCATTTAAACAGGTATTTAGGCCAGTTATAATATGCAGGTATCAGAATAACCTGTCCATAAGAAAACAAGCATAATGTATAAAAAGTAAATAAAAACAGAACACAGTGATGTGCGAATCATTTAAACCCGATATTTAATTGAAAATAGTACAAAGACAACATATCAAATGTTCAAACTGAGAAATTTTATTGTTTTTTGAATAATATTTTCCCATTTTGAATTTGATGCCAGCAGCACATTGCAAAAAAGTTGGGACAGGAGCATCAAAATACTGGTAAAGTTGTGTAATGCCTAAAAAACAACTGGTAGAACATCTCAGAACTAATTATGTTAATTGGCAACAGGTCGGTAACATGACTGGTTATAAAAGGAGCATCCCAGAGAGAGTCTTTCAGTGTGCTGTTCATGTAGAAGTTCATGTAGAAGTATACATTGAATGTATTTTTTCCTCTTTTACAGAATGTATTCTCAGCAACGTTACCGGAAGCACTGCAAACCGGCCACAGAAGCAGCACCTTTACTGTGGTGGAGTTTACTCAACTTAGCCCTGGGCTGTTGGACCAACCACACGCTGTTCGTTGTTAAAACACAGCTGAGTTTTTTTATAAACGCTGCTAGACGAGTGTGGTTAGTGTAAGTGTTCTGATCAACTGCAAAATGCACAGACAAATACTGCTTTCAGTTTTCTCCCAGGGTGCAGTTTCTTAAAAATGTTTTTCTTTATTTGTGAATTGCTGTAGGATGGTTGCTATAAATAAGCTAATGATAAGATGTGTGTAATGATAAGAACAGAAAATGACTGTTGCTTCATGCACTGACTCTATACTGTCACAGTATCCACTGTAAATAAAATGTTTACTAAATGTATCCAGAGGTAACAAAGACTTCTTCTTCATGCTGTGCTTATGCTTTCAGAGTTCACACAAACCAGTGTGAAGCAATGGCTGAAAGTGCATGCAAAGTTCACAAGTATAAATATATATTATATATATATATATATTATATATATATATATATATATGTATGTATAGTACAATCTTCGACTGCAGAGCACAACATTGCATGTGAATAACATTAACACACTAGATTCAAAGTGCTCCGTGGAAGCGTTCTGAATTTGAAGTGACATGGCAGAACATAAGGTTTACGCTTGTCAGAA